ACATACATCGAGGACACATTGACCCACTTGCAGTTTCAGTGAATACTGAATATTAGCTCTCGTTCCCTCCTCATTGCCTATATTTTTTTTAAAATTCATTTTTAATTATATATTTTTACAATAAAATATTTTGAAAGTAAATTCAATTTTTTTTCCACTTTTAACCATACATACTTCAAAATTTTACTTTTACAAAACTCATTTTCAATGAGCAATAGGGCTCAAACAGAGGCTTAGAGTTCAACATGCAATATCATGTTTGTGGTTCAGCTAAAATTGACTTTGAATTGTGATTTACTCTTAGTTATAGTATACATGCTCGTGGATCAAATTCATTTTTCTTTTAAACTGTAACATCTCGATTTTTCACTTGTCTAGGTAAAATCGTCATCCAAAATTTCTTTACATTTTTCAGAAAAAACACGTGCATTTAGAGTGTTTAGAGAAAAATTCAAGAACTGCATACTCACGATGAGTAATGATATAAAGATAATCTCTCCCAAACGAACACTCATCCATTGTTTGATTTCGATTTGTGAATAAGGTGATTTTTTGAGAATATGTAGTTAAAAATTCGAAAAAAAATCTAAGTCAATATATAAAATTATTTTATTGGAAAATTTTTTAGTTAAAAACGAGTTCGAGGAAAAGAGATCAAAATCAAACAAAGGCTTAGCTTATCACTGAGGTTGAATTTTTGTAAATGTGCTTCGATAATGAGTCATATGACACTGGAAGAAAACAGAATTTAAAATTCAACCTTGATGAAGTTTCGAACTTATTCATTTATTTTTATTTAAATGAATACGATAATCATTCGGTGAAATTCTCAAATTAAGTGAGTGTTTGGTGGGGATTAAAATTAGATTTTCAGTATATTGTGATAGAAATTTTTGAAATGTGTGGGATCCATGAAAGATGTGATTAATATTGATTGTTTGACTTTGACTTAGATTAAAATATGATTTTAATCAGAAACAAACAAGGCCTAATTCCCTTTTTCCATAAAAGAAAAGTGAGGAAAGAAGACAGAACTAAAATTTAATAAACATGCTACAAGTACAATTTTTATGACATCAAGTTTGACAATGTGCCACATGTTGAGAGTTGAGTGGCCAGTTTTTAAACACCACACACTTTCCCGTCCNCATTCAAATTTGAATTAACATGAATTGTCAAATTTTTTGTCAATCATGAATTGTACACAAAGCATTATTCAAAATTTAAATGTGCATTGTGAAATAAGAAAAAGTAGAACTAAAGAAGAAGAAAAAAGCTTTCAAAAGCATATTTTGCTCTACATCTTCAAGAACACGAGTAATTGTTCTCCTTAGCATAATATCGTCTAGAAAAGATGCAAAAGAAACTACATTAGACTTCTTTTGTGCGCTTTTAAGCTATTCGCCTATTCGTTTTTTATTTATTCAACCCCGGAATGTATTATATCGTTGCCCTCCTGAAAATTGGTCCCACTGTAAGATACTAAATCGAAAAAGATGGATGTTGCATTGCCAACGAACATGTGATATTCTCTTTTGTTTATATATAATGAAAACTTTACATGTCAATTTCCCTCCCAATTCAATACATTTACAGCATAGAATCCGCTTTTTACAAAGTGAAACCCAAAAATTCGAAAGAATGTCTGATTGAATATCGACGATATTATCATCTGGTTGATAGAAATTAAAATTTAGATTTTATTTTGAACCAAAATCAATAATTAATTATAATAACATACTAAAATTTTATCAAATTTTATCGAAACTTACTAAAATCCTTAACTTTAACCCCTACTAAATAAGTGTATTCTCTTGAACAAAGAACACGCACTAGGTGCTAACCTATTCAAATTCCTCCCTAATTCCCCACCCACCCCCACCCTCTATAGTCTATAAAAGGAAACACCAATCCAAAGGACTGCATGGGACAGGATTCTTCAAAAGCAAACAAAGACTGTATTTCCAATATACTTTTGCTTTACATAAGAGACCGCCTTTAGGAGGAGAAGAACGCCGCAGGCGGCGGAGTAAGGTTGCCGGAGAGCAAACCCAATGGAATTCGTTTCCAATTCTCCACCTTTGCTTCCCAACTCAAGTTTTAACATTAATGCTGAAAATATGAGTTCTGCTGAGGAACAACAGCACTCTGCAAACCTCACATTCTCTTCTGCAACTTCCCAACAACTTCTTCAACGCATCATGTCTCAATTAGTAAGTCCCGTTTCTACGTTTATTAAACTCAGAGGATACTCTTTTTTTTTTTCTTTATTACATCCTTATGTAAATTATTTTCCCAGTATTTTCAAGAAACAATATAAAAACAACAGAAATTAACAATAATTTTTTCTTGATTTGTTTAATTGGTAATTAATGCAGGAATTATCACCATTAACTTCAGGAAGGCTGTCTCACAGCAGTGGACCTCTAAATGGATGCCTTCCAGAAGAAAATGATAGCCCTCCAATTTCTCCTCCTGATGACTTTGAAGATATAGTAAAGGTACATATTTTTTTTCCTCTAATTCTTCAATTTCCCACTACCACAATCTGGATTTTGTTATTTATTTCCATTTCTGCTTTTTTTTCCGTTGTTTTGAAAACTTTGGTCTATCTCTAAAAGATGCAGTACACTTGAAATTTCACTACAAAAAGAAAAAAAAATACTGAAACTAATTCAATTTACAATTTTTAAGAACTTGCCTACTGATTAGCAATTGAAATTCAGTGACTCAAATCTTCAAAATGAGTTCCAATAGACTCAGTTGGTTTGGCCTTCCAAATTTGGAGAATCAAACCTACTCTATATTCTTAATGTACAATGATTAATTTAATAAAATCACATATTTTAATACTCTATTTTTAAAACTATTTAGACCACATTTAAATTGATTGGTAGTTGAAATATTAAAAAATCTGTTAGATACGATATGAAAAGAAATCAATAAATGATTTTTTTGAGAAAAACAAAATGAATAGCCAAATAGAGAGTTCTTTGAAGTATATAAAAATTTTAACTCTCTAAATTTATAAATACTCTTTATAAATAAATAGTCCATTGAAAATGCTCTTAATGGCACGTGTGACAAATCTCCTGATAAAAGTTTTAGCAAATTTGGATAAATATTGATGAAATTTGTTGTTTAAAAGTTGATGAATATTGTGGGTTATATGAAATATATGATTAAAATTGAAGTTTAATTAGTTTAAAAGTTGATAAAACACTAGCAAAATTTTCTCAAACAAGCACTAAAGCCCTGTTTGTTTCGAATTAAAATCAGATTTTAATCCAAGTTAAAGTCAAACAATCAATATTAACCACATCTTTTATGATTCTCACAGTTTTTCAACCACACTTTTCAAAAACTTATATCACAATTTACTAAAAATCTAATTTTTAATCATCATCAAACACCCACTAAATAAGAAACTTGCCAAAAAATTACTTGTAGGTGTAAACTAACAACATAGATTGTACGAAACGCTTCGTATAAATAATTTGTAATCCAACTTGATTTTACCTTGCCAAACTAGGTGAAGCTCAGGAAGCCATTTACAAATTATAACTTTGAAAGGGATAAAACCAAGAAAGTAATTATTTATTTATTGATATTTTCATTAAAGTTTCATAGAATTGAGCTAGGAAAAAAAAACAAACAAAAACAAAAGTGACCATATAGGGATTGGACCCAATGCAGTCAATTATTTCAGCATTCTCTAAAATTTTGTAGAAAAGTGAAAAAAAACAGAGAACTTTTTTGTCACTCACAGAAACAGCTTTTCTTTGTTTACTAGGATATACTTTAGTTGTCTAATCAGTCACCTTTTTGACTACCTAAATGTCGAAATTGTCTCAAAAAACGTGAAAAATTAACACGTGAATTTGCCTTTCGACCCCTAAGGCTTAAGTTTTCTAAGTATTTTTCGAGTTTTGATTGCACTTGACTAGTGCTTGTTTGGTAGAGATTTTTGGAGGAATAATTGATTTTTGAATAGTGATATGATGGGAAATGTGTGGTTGAAAAAGAAGAAAAAATTATTGATGTGATGGAAAATATTATTTTATTGAAAAATGTGTCGTTGAAAATGAGAATTGATTTGNTTTTGGGGGAAGAATTGATTTTGAATAGTGATATGATGGGAAATGTGTGGTTGAAAAAGAAGAAAAAAGTATTGATGTGATGGAAAATATTATTTTATTGAAGAATGTGTGGTTGAAAATAAGAATTGATTTGAGAATGAATTCTCAAATCAAAAGCAAACACCCCCTTAATAAGAATCTATTTCAAAAGCACAAGAATTAATTAGTTTTTAAAGATCAAGAAAGTTGGTTGTGAAAAATCTCTAAATTTTAAGTCTTTGCGCCTGTTTGGCCCTCATTATTCCAAATTATAATGAGAGGAATAATAATTTTTTGGAGAATGTTTGGTTATAAAAGAAGGAAATTTTTTTTGGTTTATGTGTAATCTTATTTTATTGAAAAATATGTGATTGATAAGAAGAGAGAGAAAAATGAATTATAATTTAACGAGAAATAATGGGGGCCAAACAGGGGCTTTATATAGACACGAGTAACTCTTCTTTCCTTATTCAAGAATACTTATGTTATTATAGTATTTTAGAAACTTGTCCTAAAAAACTCAGTCATTGTTTGGCTTTTATTTTTTTCTCTCTTATTTTTATTCATACATTTTTTAATAAAATAATATTACATGCAAATTCAAAATTTTTTCTTATTTTTTAATCACATATATAAGCCAGCCATGGTGTATTAGAAGTGTAAAAAAAGTAGAGTTGTATAACATGATTTAGGCATGGCCCAACGTAGTTCTTGACGTGTCACAAGACTCACAACATCCCACCCCACAACTAAGGATGCTTGAGATCAAGGCGGGAGTGGGGGGAAGACAAAGTTACGTTTGAGAAAAATAAATTTTAAAAATTGAGACCAATAACAGAGACATAATATAATTATGCTAAGCTCCTATTTGGTGGGAATTAACATAAGATTAATATTAAATTTTTATAAAAGTTAATGAAATATGTAATTGAATTGATTAAAATAAATTATTGATCAACGCTGCTATGAAATGGATCTTGAATTTGTCATGGTTTCTCTTCTATCTCTAGTTATTTTTTTTAATCTCCGCTTATTTTCCTGTCAAAATCACACGCTTCCAGTACTACCGCGCAAACAACACCTTACAACCCTTATTCACGGCCCCCACTGGTACTACACATACCGGTCATGGCAGTACTGGTGCTGCCGGCGCTAGTGCTAGCACACCCGGTGGCAAGACAGTCGGGAGGTGGCTAAAGGAAAAGAGAGAGAAGAAGAAAGAAGAGACAAGAGTACAAAATGCCCAGCTCCATGCAGCTGTTTCAGTAGCTGGTGTGGCTTCAGCAGTGGCTGCAATTGCAGCGGCCACTGCCGCAGCATCTTCAAGGGGAAACGACGAACATATGGCAAAAACAGATAAGACATTGGCTTCAGCCGCCATTCTGGTGGCTGCACAGTGCGTTGAAGCCGCAGAAGCAATGGGAGCTAATCGTGATCACCTCATGTCTGCAATAAGCTCTGCCGTCAATGTCCGGTCTTATGGAGATATATCAACTCTTACTGCCGCCGCAGCCACAGGTGAGACATTTTTGAATGTGCATTATTCTTTTTTTACAGATTCTGACTACCTGAAATGAAAGGGATGAGTTAGATAAGTTCTCTCTCTCTTTTACAGCTCTGCGTGGAGTAGCTACCTTGAAGGCAAGAGCGTTGAAGGACGTGTGGAATGTTCCAGCAGCTGTTTCAAAAGACAGAGGGTTAAGCATAGGTACAGGTCACAATAGCAGCAACAACAATACTTACGGAAACTATTATGAAGAACTAGCTCCTGAAGAAAACGTTTTGGCTGCTTGTAATAAAGATCTGATGCTCGCTCGGGGCAGCGAACTTCTCAAAAGAACTCGTAAAGGTGACCTTCACTTGAAATTTGTTTAAAGCTTGGAACAGTTTTCTTTGCATGAGTAGATCTTTATACCAATTAATTCTGCAGGTGATCTACACTGGAAGATTGTCTCCGTTTATATTCACCGAACTGGAAATGTAAGTCCTGCTTGACTTCATTATATTAACGGACCCACCAACTTATAATCTGAAAAAAGCTTGCTATGTTGTCAAGGGGGCTGAAATTTTTTAATTCACTTCTATTACATGGGTTCCACCGCCACGTGAGTGGATGTCAAAGACTCAAGAAGAGTGTCAAAACCCTTCTTGCAAACAAGTTTAATTCATCTCAAAAAGCTTTGTCGAGCATGGGCAAAGGTTCTAGGTTCAAGTCTCACCACCAATGCCATCCCGCTCCTGAAAATGTTTTCCATCTCTAGTAACTTTTTTAGATGAGGTACTTGTAAAATCCAAACATTTATCATTTATCCCAATAGTTCCATTCACTTTTTGCAGGTGATGCTGAAGATGAAGAGCAAATACGCAGCAAATACTTTAACCAAAAAGGACAAGAGTAAGATTTCAGACTTTAATTATCTGGACATTGTAAATCTGGTAAAATATTGAGTGCTAAGACCTAAGTTGTGCTACAGATATAGTGTTGGATGTTTGCAAGGACATACCTGCATGGCCAGGGAGGCACTCGTTTGAAGATAGAGAGCAACGACGATACTTTGGGTTGAAAACAGAAGCCCGTGGCCTGGTCGAGTTTGAATGCAAAAATGAAAGAGAATATGAAATGTGGACACAAGGTGTTTCGAGGCTCCTGTCCATCGTCGACGAAAGGATGGTGAAGAAGAATTCCAGCACAACACGGGGAAGATGAATTGAGCTTTACATTCACACGATGTGAGTACTGTTAAGCTATTATCAGTCGTAGATGTTTTGCTACTAGCGTAAGTTTTTCAAAAAATGAATTCGAACTCGTGTTCATAGTTATCATTTTCTCAATTAATATTAGAAGAAATGTCCCAGACCATGTTTAGCTTCCAAAATTCAAAATATTGTACGAGTATTGCCTTTTAATTAGCTTGTATCATTTTCTTTGCTGATTATATAGTGTTTGGCTAAGCCTAAAAAGAGAAAAAAGTTATTTTGAAATTATTTGAATTACTTATTTTGAAAGTAAAACTTACTTACCATCAAAATAAGTTATTAAAGATCAAATTGAGTCATGCTGTCAACGTATATGGGATATCATCTCGGACTTATTAAGTGCTTGTTTGGGAAGGATTTTTGGGGGAANGCTCCTGTCCATCGTCGACGAAAGGGTGGTGAAGAAGAATTCCAGCACAACACGGGGAAGATGAATTGAGCTTTACATTCACACGATGTGAGTACTGTTAAGCTATTATCAGTCGTAGATGTTTTGCTACTAGCGTAAGTTTTTCGAAAAAATGAATTCGAACTCGTGTTCATAGTTTACATTTTCTCAATTAATATTAGAAGAATGTCCCAGACCATGTTTAGCTTCCAAAATTCAAAATATTGTATGAGTATTGCCTTTTAATTAGCTTGTATCATTTTCTTTGCTGATTATATAGTGTTTGGCTAAGCCTAAAAAGAGAAAAAGTTATTTTGAAATTATTTGAATTACTTATTTTGAAAGTAAAACTTACTTACCATCAAAATAAGTTATTAAAGATCAAATTGAGTCATGCTGTCAACGTATATGGGATATCATGTCGGACTTATTAAGTGCTTGTTTGGGAAAGATTTTTAGGGGACGAATTGATTTTGAATAGTGATAGATGAGAAATGTGTGGTTGAAAAAGAAGAAAAAATTATTGATGTGATGAAAAATATTATTTTATCGAAAAATGTATGATTGAAAATGAGAATTAATTTACTGTAAAATTTTGAGAATCCCCACCAAACAGGGTCTAGTTGAAAAATGTTCGTTGAAAGTAAAAAGAACTTGAAAATGGGTGAGTTCTGGTCTATAAATCTGGCAACTTGATTGGTCCTTTTGAACTTAGTGGCCAACACAATTCATTAGATTCAAGACTAGTACAATGTCTTGCCCTTTTTTTACGCTAAAGTGAATAAATTAAAATATGGATGATGCTAGATGTACACAATGATTTACACAATAGATTACACCCCTCTCATATGGTGGGGGACCTATACACAATAAAATATTCGTGAGCCCCCTTTCATGTGAAGGGGGGTGTAATCCATTATGTAAACAATCGGGTGTACATCTAACATTTTCCTTAAAATATAAAGACTTGCCATAAAAATTTTGAGTCTCTATTTGATTTAATTTAAAAAGTTGATAAATTAATTTCAATAATTAATTTAACCATATATTTCACTCACAAAGTGTAACAACTACTTAATCGCACATTTTATTAATTTTTTCAAAAAATCTATTAAAAAATAATTTTCAATTAAATCAAACAGGGCTAAGTGTCTTTTAATATGAAAACAACTCGACTTTTTGCCCATTACGCTCTGAATTTAGTTTTCAATAATTTGATTGAAATTTGAAACTAACAATGTTTTGAAAATCATCTATCGTGTAACTCGTAGTTAAGGTTCTGGTGGACGAGACAAGATCTCTGAGCTTTAACTTTTGTGCTTTTTTAACCTTGTATAAAAACAACACATTTTCTATCGTTTAAAGTGTGTAACAACTTAGATAGGGTTAATGGTCATTAAAATTTTGAGTACTTACGTCAATTTTACCGAAGTTATTTTCTTACACTAATCGTCACTCAACTTTCTAACTGTTACACTTATGATCATTCGAATAAAAAAATTTAACAATAATCCCTACTTGGCACCATTAAGTAACAACGTGTCACCATACAATGTTATTTATTAAAACAAATTAACAAAATTGAATAGTTAGCAAGCGGGAATTAAACACGTTGGCACTTAATGGTACCACATACGATTTAATGTTAATTTTTTTTTAATCAAATGTATAACGGTTAGAAACTTAAGTAATCACTACCAAAAAAAATAACTGTAGTGTATTATTTCTTGTTGCAATTTAAGAACCCAATTATATTTACCAAACGAGCACTCAAATTTTAGGAGGGAAATCTCATGCAAAACTCAAATTTTAGCAAAATAAAATTCTTTTTGCTGTAAAAGTTATTTCAAGAAAATCCCCGCGTGTATTGCTGGATATA